TGCCAATGACTATCTGAACAACAAAAAATAAATAAAAATATGAGATTCCAGTGGGGTTTTCCCCCAGTTTCAGAAGAGCTTACAAGGTATTTGGCCAACGTCCCCCCTTCCCACTAGAGACATTCAGACTCAGGCACAAGCCAGTTATTGGAAGTAATTTACACACCCATGAGTACAACAAGGCTCGCACTAGAAGATCAAGAGCACCTTGGGATGCTGTAAAGATGCACAGCATGATTTTGCTTTATACCTGTGGCTACTCTGCCCAACATGAGCATGGAGCCCATGGACAGGGGTCCCCTCCGTGCCCTCTGCCCAGTCCCCGTGCAGCAGAGGGGTGGGTGCACCCCTGTCTCTGGGACCCCTGGCTGGCTCCGGCTGCTTGGATTTGGTTTCTTTCCTCTCATTGTCCCAAAGGGGTTTCATTTTACACCCACCTCTGTATTTGTTTTATCTTAAATGCTAATGGCAAAGTCAGGGAGATCGGATCAGAAACAGGACCCTTGGCATAGCTTCCCAGATGCTGGCTCAGGTTGTACAATTTTGTACAAATCCTTCTGTCGCTTGGGCATTGGGAACCCCAAACTTACTGCCAGCCCAGCCTGGGGACAGACCATCCCATGTTTGTCTCCTGTACGTACCATTACCATACAACAAGGGTTGCAGAAGCTTGCTTGCCTTCCTTAAATCAAGAGCACACAGAAGAAAGGGACGAGACTTGCTTTCAAGTGCAACAGCAAAAGTGTTTGTGAAATGCAGGAGAACAAGCAGCTGCTTGCTGGACTCGGCCCCTCAAGGCAGAGGCTCAGCAGCCCCTCTGCTCATCGGGGCTTGGGGCTCTGTCCTCCCCAATCACTCTGCCACCAGCTGACCAAAAAAAAAAATAATTTCTCCCCCAGAAAAGGCCTGGCACAACAGTTCCATCTTCTGAGACATTCAGAGTGTGTCTTTAGTAAGAAAAAACTAAGAACTTCTTATCTAGGAAGCAAAAGAATAGCGGAAATGCTGAAGAAGAGTTATGGGCTATCTCCTGTCCCTGCTCCAATTCCTCAAAACAGCTGAGCAATTTCCCCAAAGGACTGCTTGGCTAGCACAGACCCCAGCGTGGAAAACTTCAGCCTGAAAGGGCAAAAGAGGTGAAAGTTGGAGTTTAATAAATGGGACCGAGCATTCATGAAGTCTTAATGTCACCATTAATCTTATTAATGTTATTAATCCTTGGGAGAGGGAAGGGGAGAGCACTAACTGGTGAAGATGAGAGAAGGCAAAAGAAATTTGACAAAAAAAAGGGGGTGGGGGCAGGAGGGGTGGGGGGTGTTTAAAGACCTGACTGTTATAGCTGCTTCTGTGGCATGAGATGTCAGAGTCACACAGATTTGTGGCTTTCCCATGGCTGTCGTTGTCATGGAGGGAGACACACAGTCAGAGAATCTCACCCACTAATTTCCCAATGAAACATATCAGAGATCAGGTATGCCGGAAACAACAGCAAATCTTCACCTCTAACAACATTTAGCAATGAGGGATCTGACAAAGTATTTTTTATTTCATCAAAAAAGCATTTCCCTTACTGCTGGAAATATATACCTTACTGCTACACTGGGATCAGGCTAGTGGTTTAAATTACAAGAAGAGACACCCCCAGAAGCCTACATAGCTGCACTGTAAGCAAACATTTAGACAGGATATAGAAGATATGGGACTCCAAAGCTCCAGTCTTCTCCCGGTGTCTGCAAGCGGAACACAGGCAGGAAGATCCGATGCTGTCACATTACGCATTAGGAGCTGAAACGACTTCTGGTCAGCCCTTTGGGGACGGATAATCAGCAGCTTGTTCCATGCTCCCGATTAAGAGGAGATAATCCATTTCCGTACGGCTTTTGTGTCAGATCAGAGCAATTCTGGCAACGGTTCCAACGGCACACAGCGCTCCGGCAACAGCTGATGCGAACGCTCCAAAAGCCACGGGGCATCCCAGCCTCCATCCAAAGGACGTGCCGCCACTTCGACTGTCCTTTTGCAGCAGCAACTGCTGCAAAGGTCACGCACATAACGGAGGCAGCTCGGGTTTGCCTCTCCTCTCGGACCTGAATGTCAAGGCTGAGAGATTAGCAGCCACAGAACCTGCAACAAAGACTTGCAAAGAGCTGGAGGACACGGTTTGCTGTTTCAGGTGCATCCTGGAGTGGTCTTTTGCAGCATGGGGATGTGTCACCCTGCAAGAGGAGCATTTGCCCCACTTATCAGGAGATCAAGTGAAGTGAATTCAGCCTCTGCAGTAACTCATCTTGCCTGCTCAGTCCCTCTACACAGCTGTAGCACAGAGGATTTCTTGTTAAACAGGGGAAGGTGCACAGCTCTTTTGCATCGGCTTTACTTTAATAGATTTAGCTACTAGTAATGAGGCAGCCCTAAAGAGCTGCAAACACTAATATCAGAGCATGGGCCCATGCAAAGTAAGAGCTCTGGACAGGACCACATGCTTCTCCAACCTCAGGACAAATATATGGGTCTTTATTGTCTCTCCTTCCTGTAGTTTGGGCACATTAACTCAAAAAGTGTGGGAAGAATTACACTGGACAAGGAGAACTCAAACACACAAGGCAGAGCTGAACAGAGTTGACCTGATGACCAAGCACCAGGACCAAAGGAAGGAAACGCCATACCACAAGCAGCCGATCACTCAACAGTGGGCTCTTAAACAAACAAAACCACCATAACAGTCAAGGGCACGGCATTCCAAAATTCTTACAGAAGTTAGAGGACATCAGAGGGAAGACTCCTCAACCTGTCCCAGTCACCAGCAAGAGTGCTGCTGAAAACCAGATGCCTTCAGCCTCCAGATGACTGGGCTGGAAGAAGAGAGGCAGTCATGATTAAAAGCCTTCAAAGAGGTAAATGATGGAGGATAGTAATCAGTTAATCTCTGCTTCCAGCCCAGGTAAGATTAAAAAAAAAAAAAATAAAAATCCCTAAACCAGTTCTGGCTGCAGCAAATAAAGATTTATATCTGATATTAGCAAATGCTCAAAGACGGGGCCATTAGGTTTTGGGACAAGCTGAGGAGGTTGCTACTTCTCCTTCTTTAGTTTTGTACAGGGCAGAGAAACACCCTTCAGGGACAGGTTGGGCACAGTAAATCCAGATTCCAGGAACAGGATCACACCACCCCCTTCCAGATTTGCCTGTCAAGGACTCCCAGGGCTAAGATCAGGGTGAGACCGGCACAGGGCACGCTGCGAGGGGCTGATGGAAGAACCACGTAGCACAAACAAAACAGCTTGTACAGGACTCCCTATCAAAGCTCACCCGTTTGGAAGCCTTGTGCTTTGACAGGTATCCATCTCAGCTTAACTTAATACCCCCCTTGCTGTCATGCAGCCCTGCAGCCATCTCTTACCCTACAAACAGGCAGACACACCTAGAAATACGTCTGCACCACGTCAGGGATGCTAATACAGTGAACAGTGCATGCTCTTTGTTTTCAATGCAGCATCTCAAAAAGCTTCGTCGTTCACTTAAGGTGAAGCAGATGCTGTTCTTCTGGTCTCTTTGAAAGGGCTTATCTATGGGCTGGATTTCATTAAGTGTCTTGTTCTGTGTTTAATAAGCTTGCAAGTCTAGACACTTTGGTACTCTCCCTATCGCCCCTTTGGTGTACCAGCAGGTAGAGACAACAGAGGTTAAGAGGGAAATATTTAGCTAGCAGATTTAGATGCTATCAAGATGATTGCGTAATTCTACTTTGACTCACTGCAGTTTCATACCCAGGGACTTTTTGACTCGCCCAAGTGCCAATTCCTTTTGAAAGAAAAGGGCTGCTACCTGCTGCAGTAATGTAAAGGAGGTCCCTGGGAGGTTCAAGACACAGGCTTTAGGATATTAGTAGAAAATCCATGTTGAACTAATGACCAAACAAGGGAGAAAAAGGTCCAGAGGAGCTGTGCAGTGGAATCACTCTTAACTACCAGACAACAATGATGGTGTACGAGCAGAACAGCAGCCTCAGCAACACAGCCCACCCGACTCTTCAGACATTTCCACGTGCACTTGGGTATCACCTCATTCCCCCAGTCAACAAGGACAACCCAGGCAGGACCCTGATCTCTGCTCCTCCCTCCTGGGGATGTCCCAGCCTGGGAGCACTGAGGCACCTGCAGAGCCCCGTGGGAACCACCACGACCAAGAGCTCAGCAACAAAACCAAGAGATGCTGCTCAGACCTCAGACGGGTGCTGTGTCGGATGCCTGGGCATCGGCTTCGGCTGTCTGCAAGAGGCGTTCTCAGAAGAAAGGTGCCCGGCTGCAAGGTGGGCAACGCTGGAGAGGTGTGTGCCAGCTACCTCCGGAGGGAGTTTCTTCCCGCAGCTCCCATCAGCCAGGCATGCCCCACTGAGACCAGTCTGACAGGGCACCGCTGCGGATCTGAGGGCAATGCCGAGACCAGTCATTTGCTTATCAGTCAGCCGTTAGCGTCACTCGAGTGATGGGAACTCAGCCGAGACTTTGTTCGTTTTGCTTCTGACCCTGCATCACACTTGAACCCTCGGCCTCTGCACAAAACCAGCTCTGTATTTATCTGCTGCTCTGCTCAGTGCCAAAGGCTAAGTGAGATGGATGCAATTCCTGTTGGTTCACAACACACTGGGAAAGATCAGCATTTTGTGGATCGGGGCTGCAAGATGTGCACATTACAATTACATGTGCTGCTTGGATGTACCAACAAAACTAACTGCAATCTTACATTAAAAGCAGAATGTTTTTTCAAAAGATTAATCAGAAAGAAAGATCTCCCTCTTTGGAAAACAAGCAGCCATAACCAGCAAATATTTTTCTCTCATGGCATTGTAAAACAAGGCACGCTCTGCCCTCCGAGCCATGAGTCATGAACTTCCTCAGCAAAGTGGGAGGCAGAGCAGAACTATTGCACAGAGGTCAACAGGATGGGGATTTTTTTACATTTTATCCCAAGGAGAGCAAGTTCAAGGTCTTTGCACTTACCATCAAACTTCTTGTATCGGGAACTAAACATGGTTTGTAAGTGATTGCTAAGCTCTACGACGGCATTTCTGAAGTCGTGTTTACTCTGCTGACTGTACTTCTCCTCCATTTCTTGAGAACAGCATGTGTAGCCTTGCGAGCAGACTTTCAAGTGGTCACCTGAAAAGCAGAGAAGAAAATATCCCAGGTTAAAAGGATTCTCCATGCAAGGGCAAAGAGGTCGGCTTTGTGAGGCAGGGGGTGGGAGGACCCGCAGCACCATCTCCTCCCAAGGACAGCCCCCCTCACTGCGAGCGCTGGACCAGGCACATCAAAACCTGATTCTGTAGAGGAACTTTATAGCACCACATGCAAATACCACTCCTTGTCTTTCTGCAAGAGCATTAAGAAGTGTCCTCTTATTTATTCAGTTAATAAATGGAATAAACAGATACTCATCTTGCACAGTATAATTTGAAGAGCCAGAAAATTGACCTGTATGTACCATGATATCTTCTGGAAGTTTTTGCTGAGTATTTGAATTACTTCCAATTAATTCAGTTAATACACAACACAGTATCGACAGCAATGGTCCTTTTTGTACAAACAATTTTTTCTTCACCCTCCCTACCTCCAATTATCACAGGAGAAGTAATCTCCCTCAGAAGCACAGTTAACACTGATATTAAAATATACTTTTTTTTTTTTTTTATGAAACAGCTCATTAAAAAGCTTTTTATTTCCCAGCTCCTAATTTTAAAGTTTTCTGTCATCACCTTGGGTGAAATTGAGTGGTCAGTTTTGGAGAATTCAAACACATTTTTCTTCCTTCACCCTGAAAGATAATGCTCTCCTAAGAGGAATCTGGCTCAAGCTGGCTTGGTCAGAGGAATCGTAAAGTGCTTAAGCATCTACCATGGTTCCGTTTCAAAATCTCACAGACTATCTGGGCACAGGATCTGGCCCCATAGAATTTGCTTTTAGCGCGTCTCGCTGCAGCGCAGGATGAAGCAAAGTGCTGCTGTCAAGTTCTGTGGGCCAAGGTTATCTCTTTGCATAGCAATCCTCAGCTCCAGCTTCCCTGACAGGTCCCACAACACAGCACCAGCACAGGCAGGTGGGCTTATGCTAAAGTGGTTCAAACTTGGGCAAACTGTGCAAATCTTTATCAACACTGAAGATATGATCAAAACAAGCAGTTAGTTTGAGAAACTCATCTTTCCAAGTCAGATGGTATTTTAAAAGACACAGCCTACATGTAAGCTGCTGCCTTCTCTCCCATTTCACACCCCGCTGCCAAACTTTATCCTTCATCCAGAGGAAGCAGATGGAGAAGTGAAGGCTCCTCCCTACCTGCTCATACCCTGGAAGCCACCACCAACCTCCAACCTCCACCGAGGTTGTGAGATTCAATGCCAGAGCTGCAAAGGACTTGTCAGCCCCCCTGCACAGAAAATAACCTCTTCACAACAGGAGGTGAACCATCCACTTACCGAAGAGCCATCCTATCTGCTAGAGCATCAAAAGTGGGTTTAGAAAAACAAAACCAGCTTTTGCACAGTGCAAAACAAAGTCTGACCGTGACTAACATGAGGAGTTGCTTCTCTGCCTGCCTTGTGCAAGTTCTCATAACGACGTCATTTTCCCAGCTATTGAACCTTTGCATGACTTTGCATGACTTTCTAGCCCAGAAATGTTGGTATCTCTCCTTTCAGACACTTAAGGACCATTTTAAAATAAGACACAAATATTTTTATATCTTTGTCTCTCTCTCTCTCTCTCTCTACCTATCTATCTATCTAATTCCTAGGAATCTCTCCTCCTAAATGTATTTTCCTTTTGTTTGTCTGTTTTACCCTGGCATTACACAGAGACCTTGACCAACAGATGATAATTCTGTCACAGCTTATTGCACAAGACCGTCTGCTGCTCTTGAATTATGGAAAGTTCAAAGTCTGTTACAAGAAGCAGCACTGCTTAGGCACAAGCTTCGGAAAACACAGAAAAATCTTGCTATCTCTCCTTAGAGATGTATTTTTTTTTTCACAAACTCTATTTCTTTCTGTCTCAGAGGAGCACCTCCAGCGGCAAATACATGGCATTACGGGGCGCATCACGGGATGCGGCTCCATTTAGCTTGATAAGGCATTTAAAAGATAAAAAGAGCGCCCACGACTTTTGGTTCCTGCCCAACAAATCCACCCCAGAGCACGCCTGGACACTCCTCTATGAGTCTGCCTTACTAGGAAGCATTAAAAAAAGTGCCCAAGCGCCACCGCTTCATTTCACTTTGAATCTCCCTGCTCCAGTTCCTACACAGGACTAAGGCTCTTTGACATAACAGGAAACAGAAATAGCAAGTGATATTTACTGCTAGAGCAATGGCTAGTTTTGAGGTGTCAAAATAATTTTATTTCAAAACTCTTGTAACAGTTTGTTTGGGGGGAGGTTTCCTAAATTTTTGGGGGGGAGCATGGGAGAGGTGGGGGGAAGTATGTTGGAAATATTTTATCTGAAATGCACTTCATGACTTCAGTACCACTTTCACGATGCATGCCCAACTTCGGTAGTTACCACTTACATACCTCCCAGTCTTTCATGCTGGAGGGGTAAGCCTCTACTTAGCAAATTCAAACTTACTGATAGCAGGATTTCTTTCCCTAGTTACACTTTGCAGACACCTCTGAAGTTGTCCATGGATGCTCTGGGATCCCTAAAACAGTGGTTTTAACAACTACTCCAATTTATTTATGATAAAAAAATAAGAGCCCAAGTTATTCACAAATACAAGTAACATTAACAAAGCAAATAATTTTTCTTTGACCTCCCCTCATTCCAGATTCGGACAGTGCCTCCCTGGGACATACGTGCAAAGCCAAGCAAGGAAAACACTACTGATAGTAAATCAAGCTTGCACAGATCCCATTTGGTTGATCATTAAGAAATTATGCTCTAAAATGCAATTCAGACATCAAAAAATGAATGACCAAGCAATCTAATTATGGAAGATATTTCTCAGTCATGTCAGCACTATGTGGTCTCGGCTTGTGATCAAGAATTAGCTCTGTCTGGAGCTGAGGAGCTCCGGCTACTCAGTGCTAATCGCAGGAAGATGAACTGTGTTACCCAGTGTTAAAAACCATAAAGTTTAGGGCTGTGGGCTGCTTTTCTTGCAGTTTTCTTATGCCACAGTGGGAGATACCAATGGAAAGTCACTGAGGGGCTCCAGTTTTCCCACGGGGAGGGTTGTCCTTAGCACTTCCACATCCCTGAGAGTATGTCCTCACTGAACAAAGCAACAGGCACTGACATGGTTTGCAAGAAATCTTATGTCTAGCCTTCGTTTTAAATCAGCCAGCAGAGCTGATCTGTTCAGCATCCATCCACAGAACTCATCCTATGCCTGAGTTCTGCAGGGAGAGCCACGCAACATCCCCGTGTCTCATCGCCTTCTCGGGCGATGGATCCACCACACGCCCCTTCAGCGAGCGGCTGCGGTGCCGGGAACTGCCTGCACCTCCACAAACAGACCCCGAAGCATGGCATCCTCAGACAACAGCTTGAAAACACAACAGTGCTAAATCCACGGCATGCAGGGGAATGAAAGCGATGGAGTCTGGCAAGCAGCCACCGCCACTGGTCCACGTGAGCACGGACCAGTTATGCACAACAGGAAACACCGACCTAGAGCCAAGACCAAAAGACAGTGCTCTTCATCTTTCCAACTAGTAGTGAACTCCTCTAAGAAAAGGGAGTGAAAAACACTAATATTTAGGCCCACTTCAACAGAGATCTAATGTTTATGCATATTATGTAAAGAACACTCACGGTGCACACTCACTGTCAAAGACACATTCGGCAATAATAATTTCCCAAGTTAAAACTCATCAAACAATGCCCATACAAGGCAACTCTTCATCTACTGTTGAGTGTTAAAGACTCAGCAGCTTTTGTAATTTATCACCATGTGAGCACAGCAAAAATATAACTCTACCACAGTTTCCTTTCAAGTTAGGCTTTTTATTGAATTGTTTGGCAGGGTGTACAATCATCACGTCAGGGGCTGCATGGCAAAAAGAACTTAAGTAGCAGAGAATGACTCCAAATATCTACCGCATATGCATACCATCACTGCAGCTTGTCATGGATTTGCAGATCTTTCTCAGGGCCTGTTGCAGCAAGAATTTTTATCTATTTTATATTACATAAGAATACAGAGAGAGAAATGAGGGACCAAAATTACAAAAGAAGCTTGCTCCTTGGCTAGTTAACAGCACACCTCTGGGGAATGGAGGTGGTAGTTTAAAGATAGAAATGTAATGGTACACGATGTTACCATCTGTACATCCAAGGAAATGTGCTCAGAAAGGTAATCTTGCAAACTTATGATTTAAGCCATTACAGAAACACCACATTTAGCAGACTCCAGGAACACAGAGTTTCTTCCAAATCAAGTAACTATTTTGCAATGTGTCAGAAAACAAGTTTTCATCGAATGAATAAGTGTGCAGCACAAACTCAGGGGCTCTGTGATCTTGAAAAGTAGTTCCCTTCACCAAACAATTTTCCAAGACCTTTTCAAAATGTTGTTTCTGGATGTCTAACATGCCTTCCCAGACTGCTTCTCCTCACCTTGACCAAGTTCATACTTTAAGTATACCTAGCTGTAAAACTAGCTAAACTTTCAGGAGTGGTTTGCTGGGAGGGGGCGGGGGGGGGGGTTGTTTCTTTAAAACACTCCCGTACGCAGTCTAACCCTTCATTGCAGCTCAGTAAACAATTCAAATGCAGTTTATGGTCTGAGATGTTACTGTTGGACTTCGCTTCTATGTGAGAAAACAGGCTGGGGTAAACTGGGCTAGTGGAGGAGTGGAAGGCAAGCACTGCTGGGGGACCAGTAAGCAGGACCACCATTCCAGCCTCACGCTCTGCCTCTTACCTCTAGCACACATCAGCTTGTCTCATCTTTAAAAGAATTTTATGACTTCCTCTGAACCAACTACTAAAGGAATCCTGGACTGTAATGCTGGGCTCTAATCCGATTTCACACTAGACTTGCCTTCTAATTATCACAGAATATTAGGCTTCCACCCATCATATATAATTGACGTGCTACCAAGCCTTTTCAAAACCCCCAACAAAGATGACAAGAAACACTAGCATCACCCCTGAGCACAGCT